TTCAATTTTGTAAATATGCCGATGGTATGCGTGTGATGGGTAAAAAACCGGATTTTTTCCGGCATAACAGCACCACCTGCTGCGGCCACTTGACCTACATCCGCGCGGACAAGTGCGCCCAGACTGCGGCCACTTGACCGACATTCGCTCAAACGCACGTCCTCCGCCCGACAGTCTCGCTCACCCCACCACCCACCCTGCAGGCACTTGAGCAGGCCCTCCACCCCCTCTGGACCGATGCAATCTGGGCCGCCAGAGCAAACCACTCCTGGGGCAAAAAAACGCAACACTCGGACGCCATTTAAAATTGTCCCACAGTCCACATAATAGGGCCGTCACCGCTGCCTGGGGGATTCTCGGGGGTTAGGACTGGATGCAATTAACACCAGCGCCTGCCCCCCCCCCCCGCACAACCCACATAATGGGGCTGTCGCCCAATGTCAGCTCAGTATTGTGCAGCTCGGCTTGCGGAAGCCCGGTTGCGGTCACAGCTACCGCGTTCTGCAGCTTCAGGTCTGCTTAATTCAGCAACAGGATGAACACAGCCAGCTGGGAGTGGCCGAATGGCGCCAGCGAGGAACAGCAGACCAGCGTCAAACACGACTCCGTGCTCAGCATTCACGCAGCCTGATGCTGCTGTAAACGACGGTACGCCAACAACCGTTGGAAGACTAATGATTGTAGGGTAAGGTGATACCATTTTTACCGGCAGTCGGAGACCGATTACAACGCAACATCCATTTACTTATCGGGGTGGTACCGATGGATATCACTTCAACGTTAAGATGATAAATCCAGTCAGTGACGAGGTAACGCACATGAAATGCAGCGCAATGAGCCACTTCTCCTACCGACTTACAATACGACAGAATGTAAGTAATCCCCTTTTGAAATGCTGTAAATTTCTTCATCACTGCATTGTGGATATGTATGCAAAAATCGAAACTGAACGCCTGCTTTCATTCGCTTAAATTAGACCAAACTGCGCTCTGAAGGATACGTTCCTTTGCATGATGCAGTTGTAAACGACGGTAATACAACTAACGTTGTAAGACTAACGCTTTTGTCGTCCACATACACAGAGAGTCCACGCCATATGTTCGAGTACGCTCGAGGTGCAATTGCTTACGTTTGTCAGCGCGGACGTCCAGACCTACTCATTACATTCACCTGCAATCCAGCTTGGGTAATGTTTATCAGCTCTTACCTCCTGGGCTATCGACGGTAAATAGGTATGACATCACAGCACGTGTTTTCAGGAAGAAACTGAAATCGCTGATGAACTTCATGGTGAAACACGAGGTGGTTTGGTCTGTGCGCTGCTGGATGTATTAGGTGGAACGGCGAAAGAGGGGACTGCCCCATGCACATGTCCTGATCTGGCTCTATAACAAGCTTGCATCCAACGAATTCGACGACGCAGTATGCGCCGAATTACCTGATATCGACGTCGACAATGATTTGCATGAAGTTGTGGCGAAGAATAGGACACATGGACCTTCGATGCACTGAATCCCAATTCTCCAACCCCCCCCCCTCCCTCCCCCGGCATGATAGACGGAAGTCCCTTATACCGAAAACGATCAGCGGAGGACATCTGCAAATTGGCAACCGTACGAATGCGAATCGGTAACCGCTGGGTTGTTTCCTATTCGCCTTTGCTTTTAAAAGCAAACGCAGCTCACACAAACGTGGAACACTGCAATTTTGGGAAATGAATTAGGTACATTTGTAAGTACGTGAATAAAGGCAGCGACATGGCCGTTTTCGGCCTGCAACACGAAAGGAGATAAAGGGATGCGGACATACAACACAATGAAACCGCACAGTATTGGGCTGGAAGATGCGTCAACGGCAAGAAATCCATGTGGCGAATTCTTTCATTCCCCATCCATGAGCGAAGTCCAGGTGTTTTTCACTTACAGTACAGTTAGAGAATGGGCAGTGCGTTTACTTTACCGATGCAAACGCCCAACAGGTTGCCTTGGGTCCACGGACAACAACATTAACTGCGCTCGAGGCTCGGGTGTTCCACACTTCGGGCTTGGGTATGGCTGGCTGACGACGGCTAATAAGCCAGAAATGGCCATTCCAGTCTCCCTTGTCTTTGTCGGTAATAGCATTCTGCCAACATTAACTGCGTTCTCCACGTTAAGCCAAAGTGACGCTTATGCGAAAACACTGCCGCATTCGGTAGTGCCTACACATTACACAGGGAATGTGTGTAGAAAATCATCCGAACAACGCAAACGAGGAGCGCAAGTGGACGGGCACCTTGGCATGCTCAAAGGAACTGCGATAGGCAGACTGCATACCGTGCATCCCAATCTTACTTCGCATGGTGTTGATGAATGTGCCACGTCCAACGTCTTTCCAGCAATTGAAATCTATCAACGGCGCTACGCATACCACTTTCAGCAGTGCGTGTCAGGCTCTTCAGTTACTGGAGAACGATCAACAGTGGGACGTATGTTTTAATGACGCCTGCAACACGTCCCATCCACATCTAATTCGTGCATTGTTTGCAGTCATATTGACCGCATTCTCTCCTTGATCTCCAACATTTTTACGGGAGAAATATAAATTACACATGGCTGAAGATACTTTCCGTCAACTATGCGAGGAAATTCAAATGTGGCTTGCACAGCAGGAATCTACAGCGAGGCGTTAATATTGATTGAGGATATGTACTCAGAAATCGCGATCAGAGTTCTTAATCAACTGGGAATGTCACCGCAAAACCAATCTGCTGCTGCTTCGTTTGATGTGGATTGGCGCAATGAACAAAATGAAACACGGTTCAATTTCTGTCATGCTTGCAATCAAACATTCACAAGCTAAGACTGGAGCAGAATGACATTTACGACCAAATACTGCGGAATGGCAGTAACGGGGTTGGAGGAATCTTCTTCCTAGATGCGCCAGGAGGGACTGGCAAAACGTTCCTACTACGACCTATTCTGACGGCAATTCGATCCAATAAATGAAATAGCCCTAGCACTTGCATCCCCGGAATAGCGGCAACTCTGCTACCTGGCAGAAAACCCCTTCATTCTGCTTCGAAATTGCCTTTGAACGCGCAATGCATTGAAACTCCCGCGTGTAACATTTCCAAAGCATCCGACATGGGAAAAGTAATGCAGAAATGCAAACCTATTGTTTTGGATGAATGCACAATGGCGCAAAAAGCGTTCGAGGCCCCTGATCGAACACTGCAGAATTTGCGAGGAAACAGCAGACCATTTCCGATGCACTGCTACTGCTTGCAGGAGACTTTAGGCCACCACTGCCTCGATCGACACCGGTGGACGAAATAAATGCCAGCCGTCATCACTTACTCCGGAATTCTCGAGCGCGACTGGGTGCAGCAAACAATTGCCCTGCCTTAGACAGCGGTTAGAAGGTCAATCCTGGGTTTCGCACACAATACGTACCGCCAACCGGTGGCCCTTACATTTTTCTTGATTGCGAACGTGCTCCTTCCTCTTTCCCTTACTTCCCAATTCAGTAGATTGAGCCACAGCAACGCGTGGCGGGATCCGGCTAGTCTATGATATTTTGTGAAGCTTTGGTGTTAGCTCTTACTCCAAAAAGCCAAGGTTTAAGTTTTGCTACTGCTTTTAAAGATCTGTATGTTTTTTCAGGGAGCGGTTTTTTATGATTACTTGACTTTAAGGTCGAAATACACGGAGGTTTTCAACAGAAATTTTAATGGTACCCTGTGTCATCATTGGCTACGGAAGTATGACTCGTCACTGATCCAAACCCATTAAAGTTGGACTTTTTCGACTGTATGCTCCTCCGCATGCGTTCTTCTAAGCCGCACTTCTCTACTTCACATCGAAGGTTGCCTATTCTAAAGGACCACTATTTAATTGACAAAGTGCTCCTCATTGCCTTTGTTATTTACGCTCTTGCGTCTGGTCATCCGACCGTGAACAGGATAAAGCAGGATTGCAAGTGGCTGGAGTTCGAAGACTTCGTCTGCTTCTTACTGTTGAGGGAACGAGATTCTTTATGGTAGTCTACAGACTCAACAATAGTATCGCACAACTGAACTATATTGACCAAACACACCTAGCTGGACTTCGCTCACATGCAATCTAGCGTCAGCTTTGACTATAATCTGTCACCTACGTAAACTCCACAGTCACCACGATTCAGATCCTCCCTTAGGCAATAGCGGAGGCCTTTATCCATGTTTCTGGACTTTATATTAAAGCAACTCTCGATCACTTGAAAAGGCAGTCAGATAGACTTTGGTTGAACAAAGTCAAAAATTTAGAATCCAGCTGACATACTTTTATCATAAAAGGTTGTTGAGTCCAGAAGTAGCTGGTCCTTTCACACATCGCTTAATACGCCACTTCTGAGTTACGTTAATTTCCATGATTCGACTTCAAGGGCCTACTCCGCCTATTAACTAGCATGTCCGGCTCGGGTAGTATTGAGCCCGCAGCGCGTCATTCGTGACTTACTTCAGGAAAGAGGTTGTTTTTCACTTTTCATATCGGGAATCGATGTCATCTAACACCATTTCGCAGTGTATCCATAACTATTTCCGACGTTTGAAATGAAAGCTGAACGCATCATACTTTGTTAGAGCAAAAAGCGAATCGCTGATGCCAATTTCTCTCCTAATAAAACTTTCATGCAGCTGCACATGGACAGGTGCTTGAAATGGCAGCGAGCCTATATTTTCTCTGAAATAACGTCATTATTTTCCAATGGATACCTATTATACCTTTGTAAACTTGGGGATACAAAGTTTCCCGGCAGGATTTCAGAATACATCATTGCTTATTTATCAGTCATGTGTTGTGGGCGGATTTCCTCTTGTGTTTTCTCGCTATATACCCGGTACGGTCAGTGTTTGAAGTACTGTGGATCTGACGAAAGCCTTCGATACGGGTAATCGTGAAGGACCGTGGAAAATCATGCATAAAATCGGCTGTCCCGAACGATTCACTCAGAGGGTACGTCAGCCCCATGATGGCATGATGGCACGCGTCACGGGCAATGGAGCTGTCTCAGAGACATTTGCAGTGACCAACGGGATGAAGCAGGGCTGCGTTTTCGCGCCCGCCCTCTTCAGTCTTATGTTCCCTGCCATGCTGGTGGACGCCTACCTCGACGAAGGCTCGGGGATCCGCGTTGACTACAGGACGGGCGGCCAGCTCCTCAATCAGCGGAGGATGCACTTCCAGTCGCGTGTATCCACAAACACCGTTCACGGACTTTTGTTCACTGATGACTGCACCCTCAATGCAGCTACTGAAGGAGACATGCAAAGGGGCGTGGGCCTCTTTGCCGCCGCCTGCGAGAACTTCGGTCGGATCATCAACACGGCGAAGACGGTGGTCATGAACCAACCTTCATCCGACGCTGCCTACGTTGCACTGCGAGTCAGCGTGAACGGCGCCGCAACTGCAATTAATGAACAACCTCACTTATCTGGCAGCACCATCTCCCACACCGCCTAGATCGACGACGAAGTGACCCGCCGGATTTTCGAGGCCAGTCAGGCCTTCGGTTGTCTTTAAAACACAGTTTGGAATCGTCACGGTCTTCATCTCAACTCGAAACGGAAGAGGTACAAGGCCGTCATACTACCAACGTTGCTGTATGGAACGGGAACCGGACAGTGTACATGAAGCAAGCACGGAGACTCAACCACTTCCACCTCAACTGTCTTCGACTGATACTGAAGCGGAGGTGGCAGAACCGGAGCCCAGACACGGGCGTACTGGAGCGGATGGAAATCATCAGCTTCTACGCTATGCTAAGACAACTACAACTACGCTAGAGCGGCCACCGCGTACGGATGGACGACGAGAGGCTAACCGAACGACTCTTCTATGGAGATGTCGCGACGAGTCTACGCCAACAAGGAGATCAAGTCTGACGCTAAAAGGATACTCTGAAAACCTCCGTGAGACGTCTGCAAGTCAGTCTGGCTAACTGGGAAGACCTCGCTTGGGACAGACCTACGTGGAGGAGAACAGTGAAGACAGGCGCAACAACTTTCGGAGCCAACCGCATCACCGCCGCCAAAACCAAACGCGAGACACGCGAATCTCAACTTCCGCCACCGCCGTCTGACGTCAACGCTTAACCGCCTCCAACGTGTCCGTAATCTCAACGGACATTCAAGGCGCAAATTGGACTCGTTGGACACCTCCGGACCAGCTGCAGCACCCGGGCTGCACTAACCGTCGTCTCTCCGTCCACCTCTTCCTCGTCTCCCACGCCGACAACTAACGCTGACCGCCCTCCCGAACGACCAATACCATCATCCTCCTCCTCCTCCACCACCGTCTTAGCGCCTGCTGCTGTGGCGTCTGTCATGCCCGTCAACACAACACACAATCCAGACACACCAAAAAACACCACAACCACCACCGTCGTCACCAGTGATGATGACCTGGTCTATACCTGCCCTCATTGCGATCGCGATTTCACACATCGGCCTGGTCGGCCACTTTTGGAGCCACCGCACAGAGACTGGCGAGCCAGTGCCTGGAGCATCAACCCACACACGCTTATCCGCCTCCACTGTCCACACTGCCCACGCACATCCATGCATCGCGTGGGCCTATTTGGCCACCTTCGTATCCACAAGAGCGGAACTGACCGCAGCCCCGTCGCACCTAGCACATCCAGCACACCCGCCATGCCTAGCACCGCCCAAACTCTGACGCCCAGAGCGCCCACCGCGACCATCTCCATCACACTCGGTACATCTTGCACACGCGCCATGCTCAACCCAGCCCACACCCCGTAGCCCAGCACGCACATCACCATCATCGAAGCTGATACTGACACCGCCGACTTCTCATTTCCACGCCGTCCCTGTACATTCACTTCACACATCGGCGTGGTCGACCACTTGCGAATCCATCGCACAGAGGCTGGCGAACCAGTGTCTGCAGCATCAACCTACACTCGCCGCATCCGCCTTCACTGTCCACATTGCACTCGTGCATTTATTCACCGCATGGGCCTGCTAGACCACATGCGTGTCCACGAAAACCTGCCGTAGACAACCGCCGGCGCATCACACCATCACATTCCCCCTTCACCGACATCTCATCGTACATCAACATCACCCACTTCAAGCACCCAACTGCCACCTCCCACGCAAGTGGGAATTGTGCGTCTCGGCTCCGTCTCCATGCGACTCCTCTGCTGCATGTGTGATTCGAGTCTGAGACGAAGATGGTGCGTCGAGCGTCGTGGCTCGAAAGGCAGCCGACCGACGCCCTATCTCAGTCCACGCAGTCTGCCCAGTTATGTGTGTTGTACGGGGTGGCAGGTCTGTGGGCTGAGAGCCAGGCTGTCACGGCCCCTTCTCAAGCGATCTGTGACACTCTCATGCATATGAGGAGATTGTTTGTGTTTGTGTGTGGGATTTATGGGTAGTGCATCTCAGTCGACTACTGTTTGGTTACCCAACCATGAAGGATGATGGCTCGGGTAAATCCTGGGCCACGTGTAGTCCTTCTGGATCAAAGGTCTGAAAGCGTGTGCTATTCTAGGATCAGCAAACCATGGCACTTACAGCCTGGCATGCGCTGGCAGTTCCCTGACAGCTAGGGCCCTGCCGGTAGATGCGCTTACGCCCCCGCTGGGTATACAGGTGGCGGGCATGGTTGCCCGGTCATCATCCTCGTACTTCTGACCTCCTGTTGGGGTGTTGTTGTTGTTGGTCAAAAACTTGGTCATTTGTTGTGTGGACCAGAGGGTGTGGAGTGGAACGCCAGGGTGCGGGCTCGATCGTGCCATCCAAATGCGTCCTCCCTCCTCCGGTATTCTTGACTCTGTCTTGACACGGGGTCCAGGTGGGGAGTGGGGAAGAGAGTGTACGGTAGATGTTGCGCAAGTCTACTATCACTATAAACTTATTCACGCGCAAGTCACCGTGCCTGTTGCACCTTTGTTTGTAGCACACGGTGGACGTCGTCGGAATCGACGGTCGAACTGTCGTGCCGACATCAGGGTATACCTGGTCCCGGGTGATTGCAGGACGCAATGCTTGGACCCCAGAACTGAGCATTGTTTTACGGGCTTGATTCCTCTTACGAGGTCACATGGATGTTCAACTGGCATGTTTGTTGTCTTACCCATAACCAAAGTCGTAGATCCGGTAGTAAGAATCCACAAGTGAAATCCTAGAGACCTGACCTGAGGGGGAGACATACGAGGTTTGGCCAACACTTGGCGAATTCTGGTCCAATCGGCCTGACCAACTAGCAGAACAGGCTGCAGAGCATAAAGCTAGCTGGTGAGCTGGGAAAAATTCGTAGAGTATTCGAGCTCACCAATGATAGAATATTATGTGTTGTCATTCCGCACAGAGGGCAAGTCTCTATTACTACCATATCAACTATGTTGCACCAACAAGAATGGCCGGTAGGATACCGTTTCCACCCTTCTTCTGTGGTTAATTGTTTCTTCGGTAGGCAACTTGCTTTTTCGTTAATGACCAGTCTAAAGTCATTTACTTTTTGAAATTATCTGCAGAAAAATTTGTCTTTCGAACATTGCATTGTTGAATATCACATTGGGCGAAATTTTCTGATATTTTTGGACCGCAGATTACAATAATGCAATGCAGTCTTTTGCATACAGTTGAAGCAGTGTTCAGTTACTCGCGAGACTCAATCTCTGTAAAAGTGCTCCTTGATACGTTTTAATTCCCAGGAATCATCTGCGGAGGAAAACGAGGAAGATTCGGCGAAGGATATTACGTGGGACAGCGAAACAGGATTTCAGAACGAACGCCTCCTCAGAAGGGTAAATCGGGATGTTTCATTTTAAATTTACTTTACCTGCTTCATGCTTTATAATAATCCTGCTTTAGGGCACACATTCGGAAATAACAATTACTGAAGATGCGGTTACATCCAAACCATACGTAAGCGTTTTTGCCCAAACGTTATTTGTTAGGGTTTCAAAAGCAACAGTTATCAATCACTTTCCGTGCGTAGTATATGCATAGCAACTGCTACTAGGCATTTCTGAATAAAGTTTAATAAGGCGATGGTCTATACTTTAAGTCCGCTTCTCGTAGATTTATGCGCTCCACTGGTATGCTTCCGACATTCTGCTTGAAGTTATATTTTCCGTTTATTTTTTGATGACTGTGCGTGCTGGAGGTTTTTAACTGCGAGCTAGCTTTGCTGATTTAGGAGTTTTCGATGGAACTTATTGTTCTCCTCCAAACTTCTTCCTCAAAATCCCCAAAATCTGTTCATTTTTAGAACTGGAAAATGCACTTTCCTTAGAAGCTCTCATTTTCATCACGCAAATATCTCTTTCCACGTGCTAAACGGTTCATCCCGTGGTGATGCGTTCTACCCCAGTTTTGTAGTTGATAAGAGCAGCAACTCGACTGCGTGCGATGGGCGTGGGAATCGATAATCTTGACCGGCACACAGGGGCATAACAACGGCACGGCAACTGCATACATCAACACCTGGCCAGCCGAACCGTGGTGCACCCGGGAGCTGCCAACTGTGATAGACATGTAGAGGCCCAGCAACTACATCCTATAAATACTGCAACATCCGGGCAATCCACCACTTTATCTGGCTGCGCCTCTGATGATGGATTCGAGTGAGAATCCGAAATGTCAGGCTAATAAAGCTCTCGTTCCAGCGATCGTGTCTCCCTCTTCGAGACTACTTCCTGGAACTCGCCGATTCGCTTCTAAGAGTAAAACAAACATTAGCGTTGTTTGCGGCCATATCCTCAAGTTCATATAACGACGACCAGTGTCGCCGGACTTATGTTTTAGCTGTTTTTGGTTTTCTTTGCAAATGAAGCTTCTCAATCACATTTCAGCAAGTCCGAACTTCTACATCTCTGTTTACAGTCGACCGAATCAGTGCATATCGACATCATTGTCGCGAGCGCTAAAGCCCAAACCGTCAATCCCAGACTATGAATATCAGGATAAGACCAGGGTTATGAAAGAATTATCCATCAAAAGTCAAAAGACTTGACAATCCAGCTCATGCCAAGCGCGTCGCGTCGAGTTGTGTTCCTTCCATTCATTTAAACAACCAGTGAGTTCAAGAATGAGGAACAGGTAAGGAAAGGCAAGATAGTCTGGCGCCTCGGCACAGTACCCGCCTCCAAGACCGGAGGGCGGCGAAAACGACGCCGAAGGATGTGTACAGGTCTAAAAGAAATGAGTGACCAACCGATCAGGAAAGCGTACATGACGACCACTGCGAGTGATATATACAGGGTCCGTAGAAGAGTGAATACATCTGGTGGCGGAAGTGTTGGAGTTGGTGGTGGCAGTCGGAGGTAGCGGACAGGAGGGCAGAGGGAAAATACGGGACGGTGGAATAGAGGCTGCATGGGGGGAAGCAGAAGGTAAAGGACCACAGGGCTCATCCGGAGGAGTGTCAGGGACGGCAGCCTTGAGGCGGTCCACACTCACGACCTCTTCACGATTGTCGCGCTGAATGCG